ATTTTGAACAGTAGCAACAAAAAAACTGATTGAGGAAAAATGCCTTAAAATTTTTAAGATTTTCCCTGTGAGCTAGCAAAGTGTTGTTGTTGTTTTTTTTAGCTGGGAAATCTCAATATTCGAACAAAATTTGAGGTTTCCTCTTTATAAGGACATCAAAAATTCCTCATTAAAATGACATAAAATTAGGATTCAGACCAAATATTTATGTATTATTGTAACCAACAAGACAAATTAAGTCATATACTGTACATGAATTTAATTATGATATCAGAATGATCCAGGTATCAAAATACAGCTTTTAAAGCTAATAATCTAAAAATGTAATTAGGTCATTTTGACCAAATTTGACAATCTTCTTTTCGATTTGATGGATCACAAATATGAAATAAGGCTAACAAGATTAATAATGTAACACATTCTGCTCTTCCTTAGTATATCAGTCAGAAACAAGATCAACATCAATACTTTTTGGCTGGACTTAAGATTGCAGGACTATATGGACAGTTTTTGCAGTGTATAACATCATCACTACAAAGCAGCCTGTTTGTGCCAGATGATGCCAGACCACCACCGAAATTTTAACGAGTAGTTCTTCATGACAAACCCAACATGCACTGGAAAATTCATGAAAATCCATTTGTAACTTTTTCAATAAGCACTTACTGATGGACAAACACTACAAAAAGCCTAACCTCCGTTAGGTGGTATAGTCTCTCCAGCATGAGTTTTTCTTGAGGTCTTCTAGTTCAGGTGTCCAACCCTGGTTGTCCAGGGGCTCTATCCTGCATTTTTCACACGTTTCTCTGCTCCAACACACCTGATTCAGTATTGTGTTGGAGGAGAAAAACAAGTAAAACATGCAGGATAGTGGCCCTCGAGGACCAGGATTGCCCACTCCTATCCAGGKTGAAAGAGATGGATGTTTGGACCTTGCTGAATACAGACTAATCTCTCCTGTCTGCATTGTTCAGGATCAACACTGCATCTTTTTCAGGGTATCAGTGTCCAAACATTGTACTAAAAGGCAGCACATGTCCCACACCCAAGCACTGGCTCCTAATGAGGCCTGCCCCTGATAATGGAGCTAATCAGTTCAGCCCATCGGGGCCACTGCCCCTGCTGACATGCTTGTCACGGTTTATTTATACCCGCACCAGATCCATCAGCACTTGCTCTATGTTTGGTGAGYCTCGGCCATCCCAAAATAGAAATAATTAGGACCGGGTGGGAAGAAAGAGGAAAAGTGAAAACGTGTCTGAGTGAGCATAGACCCTCGGAGCGGAGGTCCCCCCGGCCCGTCCTCTTCACAATCTCTCCATCCATCCGGGCTACTCTGTCTCCCCTCTGTTTTGTTGTCTGGAGACAGAGGCAGCAGCCAGGCGGGACGAAGAAAAGGAGGAAGAGGAGGAGGTGGTGTGTGGTCTTTCAGAGTACCACACACACACCGGCAGCCTGATACCATCTGGTCTGTTTCTGGGAGGTTTTGTTTTGCTTTTTTATTACAAGACTTATTGATTAGTAACCTTCAACCTTCAGTGGTTCATTGTTACTTATTGTTATTTCCAGGAAACAAGATGTTTATAGTGTTAAGTTGCCTGATTTAATTACAACCCTGATTCTTAAAGGGATCCCCGATTAGTTGTAACATTAGACTTTATATGATAAACATTTACTTTAACTGTAAAATAAATACTGTAAAAATACTCTAGGATGTTCAGTTTTTATCATTTTTAAACTAAAAGTTTAAAAATATATTACACGGACGGGGCCATTTTATTTACACACAAAGCATTCTGGGTAAATGATGACGTGGGTAGGTCATCGGTGCGAGGCTGCTAGCGAGCTATATCCACCCTGAAGGTTAATCTTGGACAATATCTGATGATCGACTCTTTTAAATGAAACCAGAGAGCGTTGACAGAGAGGAGAAGGTAGAAATGACTCAGCCTGGAACTGAAAATATAGATGGAGGACAACAGAGCTGCTTCATGGAAGAAGAACCTCAGCTTAGCCTGTTAGCTTTAGCTTTAGCCCCGATGCTATCACCACATATATATATTAGCCCAGCGTTACACATTCTCCTCTCATCACTGAGGTCCTCCATCCACATGACAGAGAGGGGAACACAGAAATGACTCAGTCTGCAACTGAAAATATGGATGGAGGACCTCAGTTTAGCTTGTTTGTTGCGCTAGCACCGAGCTAATACATATAAGGCAATATAGCGTGAGGGCTACCGTGAAAGCTAACAGTCTAAGCTGAGGTTCTTCTTCCATGAAGCAGCTCTGTTGTCCTCCATCCATATTTTCAGTTCCAGGCTGAGTCATTTCTACCTTCTCCTCTCTGTCAACGCTCTCTGGTTTCATTTAAAAGAGTCRATCRTCAGATATTGTCCAAGATTAACCTTCAGGGTGGATATAGCTCGCTAGTAGCCTCATGCCGATGACCTAGTTGATGCCATCATTTACCCAGAATGCTTTGCGTGTAAATAAAATGGCTCCGTCCGTGTTAAACTATATTTTAAAACATTACAAACTAAACAGCCTACAGTAATTTTACAGTCTTTATTTTACAGTTAAAATAAATGTTTATCAAATAAATTTTAATGTTACAACTAATCGTGGATCCCTTTAAAGAGTAAGGACAGTGTGTAAAACTTGACTAAAAACTGTGATCTGTTGAGATGAGTACAAAATTGGATCGCAGTGAAAACAAAGTGGAATCAAGGCGAGAACAAAATGGGATCAAGAAGAGTACAATGTGGGATCAAGGTGAATAAAAAGTGGGATCAAGGTTTAATATCGGATCAAGGTTTAATATCCCAAAGGGTCACATTTGAGATGAGCTATGAATATAAAGACAAAGAGGGTAGATATAATATTGTAACAGGCAGACTAGAGGGACAAGACATTACCTTTATCAATGTGTATGCCCCACCAGGTTCAGAATGGACATTTTATAAACATATCTTTGATATGATGATAACTAAATCACAAGGCATGGTGATCTGTGGTGGAGACTTTAATGTAAGACTAAATCCTTCAGAAGATGCCTCTAAACAACCCAGAGTTAATTGTAGCACAGGTAAGAAGATCAGAAAGATGATCAAAGAGCTAGGGATAAGTGACGTGTGGCTAAAAGGGACTACACATTCTACTCTGCTGCTCATCATTCATATTCAAGAATTGATTATTTTTTTATGTACAACAAGGACCTAGACCGAGTAGAAAAATGTCATATTGGGCTGATGGACCTCTCGGATCATTGCCCACTCCACGTAGAAGTAAATGTTAACAAAACAAAAAACTCGTTTCTATGGAGACTTAACTCTAGTATACTCAAGGGAAAAAATAAAGAAGAGTTAAGGCAAGAAATTCAAACATACATGCAGGACAATGACAATGGAGAAGTCTCCCCTGTAATTCTATGGGACGCCTGTAAAGCTGTCTTGAGAGGAAAAATAATTGCAAAATCATCTCTTTAAAAAAAACTAAGTAAGAAAAATTAAACAATTTAGAACAAGAGTTGGCCGAATTAGAAAAAATAAATAAAAACAAAGTAGATCATCATCTCTTAAAAAAAACTAAGCAAGAAAAATT